AGTAAAATTAATTTTTAATACAATTCATTTTTTGCATATTATTGATAATTGTAACAAAACTCGTATCAATCGCTCGGCACAACGCATAAGTGACTTCACTAAAAAAGCCAGAACCTATCGGAAAGAAGAAAAAACAGCTCAACAACATTTGTTTCAAGAAGAGGAAAGTCCCCTCTATGGTCCTGGATTAGCAGATTAATGATACATAAAATTATCCTTATGGAAATTGCACTCAAAACTTTAAATGCGTTTTTCTTGAAACCATGTTTTTTGAAATGGTAGCCGCGATATCTCAAAAACTACTGTACCAATCGAACTCAAATTTTGCACATGTACATATGTCTATCGTCAGTATCACAATTATGCCAAAATATATTTCTTTCTAATTTTTACAGCCTCTGAAAGTCGAAAAAATCGAAACTTCATATTTAAAGTGCCGCCATTTTTTTAATTTTCAATATTTTTCTTTTACTAAATTTTTACTAAATAAGAATCAATTGGATTTTTTTAATTCAGATAAGCAGAACGGCTCAAATCATGGCAACCATCAATGTACTTTTTTTGTTCATGCCCGTGTTTGACATAATTCAGATAAGCAGAACGGCTCAAATCATGGCAACCATCAACGTACTTTTTTTGTTCATGCCCGTGTTTGACGTGTTCCACAGCAGTCATATTTCATTATTTTTCAACAAAAAAATTTGTAATCATTCTTCAAGGACAAGTAAATACGTAGGAATGAAGCTCATGTTAATAACTTATACTGAACTTCTGTAATAAATAAGCAAATACGGCCTAAAACACCGGCCGTCACATCAGAAGACCCCCTTAAGTCGGGCAATTGCTATACTAAAGGTTTGCGAGAAACCGAAAATATCGGGTCGGGTCGAGACGAAAATTTTTTCCGGGATCCAGACGAGTTCCCGAAAATTTTGGGATTCCCAATAGTGTCGGGATTAAACAAGTAAAAATAAGTAAGTAAATAAATTTTATAATGCAATTTTCGAAAACGCCTAAAAAGTCGAAAAATTGAAACCGCGTTCGTATTCGTTGAAGCGAGTCTCGAAACGGCAAACGGGTTCTCGGAATTTTCGGGAAACTCGACATTATCGAAAATCTCGACACTTTCGAGATCCCCGAAATTATCGAGAATCCGACTCGACTCAACCTTCCCGACGCGTCCTGACATTTCGGGTTCTCGCACACCTCTAATCATTGCACATTCAGACAGTGCCCCCTTCACTACAGGATCGTTGGCCAAGTAAGGCGGTGGTATAGTGAATGTGTTGTATACCGACATTATCTACTATTCTAAATCACGCTGTAGATTTAAGTATTAGTTTTCTAATCTCATTTTCTAAATACCCCAAATTTCGATAACCAATGACTTCATCCTTTCCTTACTATTCATCCTCGAACCTCGACCTCATGACCTCATTCTTTCCTGACTAACTCCGTCTCACCCTCGGACTCTGCTCTTGGTATACCAAACCCTTACAAATCCTAATCCCCACTCCTCAAAATACAAACACGTATATTACACGTTCTTCCTCAAAAATCCAAGAATACAGTAAATTCTCCACAAGTGTCAGTCCGCAAGGAACCTAAACCTGACACTTGTAGAGTCAGGGACTACGTTTTCGAGCCTCGCGCCCGCCTTTGTAGTTTGCCGAACGTAGACAAGGACAGCGAATAAAAGATAAGGATGAAACGTGAGTCGAAGCAACCAAGAGATTTAAATACCAACTTTTTTAATTTTACGTCTTTTTATCCCGAAATTTTTCTTAACATACTGATGAGATTTTTCTGATGAAAATGACATCAAACACGACATAATTTGAACAACATTTACTTATTAACAAGTTCACTGTCACGCCAGAGCGAGGATAACATAGGCGTAGGACCATCTATACTGACATTTGTAGAATCCAAACTGACTGACACTTGTAGAGAATTAACTGTAGTTCCTTGAGCGTTACGCACGCCGCTTCGTTAAACTATAGAATAGTCCGCGTGGTGTAGCGTTACACGCTTGACTGACTGCGAGCGAGATAACATAGGCGCAGTAATGACGCAGCCTAGGCGTAGGACCATCTATACTGACATTTGTAGAATCCAAACTGACTGAAACTTGTAGAGAATTTACTGTAGTTCCTTGAGCGTTACGCACGCCGCTTCGTTAAACTATAGAATAGTCCGTTAGTAAGATTATTGTATTTTGTCAACGTGTCTCCGTTCCGTGGCACTTGTACTTCGTTACTTAATAAACAATCAGTATACGGAATACAACAGATGCGTATTCGGACGAATTGACGTTATGACGAACGAAACTTCTGAAGACTGCAATGCATACTACATTCATAATAATCTGTATACATATTTGACTGTTTTGACGCATTGAGTTCGTCAGAATGCCAATTCGTCCTGTTACACCCTCAAATATTTTCATTCTAAGCCTTAGTTTTATCTGCATTCACAACTAGTCACCCACTTTCACCATTACTCATACTGGACTCTTCACCTTCCAACTCTCCTGCATAGTCACAACCCATAGTTCATCTTCCCAGAACCCTTAAATAGCCCTATTTTCTCCATTTCCGCATTCATTCTCCACTCTACCACGCGCACGTCACGTAACGTCAAAATCTCTGTCAAATAAAGTTCTGTTTCTACGCAACGACGATCCTGAAGTGTTTTAATTCAGTGATACTGTTCGCTCTTCACAGGCACGGTTTATGGCACGATCGACCGGGAACGGTTATTTTTGAGTTCAGGATTTTCGTTTATTGCTTGCACGGATCTCATTACCTCCTCCGAGGGTCACTAGAATTGCTTTGCTAGATTTTTAGTAATTTGTGTCCCACGCGCTCAATAGTCTACGAACATACCATAAACCACGAATTTCCGAACGGCATATCTGTATGTAACGGTCCGCTTGCCGATTAGTCACCCGGAGGAAATTCCAGATTTTTGGGACCTTCCGTCCACCCCTCGCGACCGTCTCCCGCCCTTCCAAGGTAATAGCGCGCTAAGGGCGCACTGGAAGGGCGGTAAAGACGATATTAGACGCGCTGATTGGCAAATGCAATCGTTAACCATTAACCAATCAGGGTGCCCCAACAAAAATCCCTCTCACGGAAGTCCGAAACGCGATGTCGGAGAGTGAGTCGTCGAGTAGTCGTTCAACCACCACGAACAAGGAGAACCAAGGAGCAACCAGCTCACATCACGCGATACCATAGATCAGTTTTTACAAGTCTCAATCATTTGGGTGGTCCTTCGAACCAGTATCTAGACGGCACAACATTGTGCAAATATCTACATACAAGACTCGAAAGTTCATCGCCACAACCACGGGCATTAACAATAGTATTATATAAGATACCAAATAGTAAATACTATCTGCTTTAATCGTGACTAGTGTAAATATATGATAGCAATAATTCATTTATAGAACTGTTTATTTTTATGTTTATGCATTTTGAATTAATAAAAGTAATGATATTGTTAAAAGTGAAATAACCACGAAGATGAAACGTTTTTTGAATATCAGTAGCTATAATACAGTCAACCCTCCTACAACGCGGTACTCTTATAACGCGGTTTCCGTTCAACAACATTCCATCAACTTAATTGGTTTAAGAAGATTCTCTATAGCATGAATTTATCTATGTGTTAAATTTTTACAGTTGAAATTAGCGGGGAATTCCCTTCTTTTTGGTGAAGGTACGTCACCATTTTCCAATTTCAGTTATCAGGGAATTCCCCTATAAGCCGAAGAAACGATGCGAGATCGTTCACAGTGTTCTGTTTTAATGGGTGCCAAATCTCAATTTATATGATGTGAAAAAAGGGCTAAATTTGGCTAAAGAATTAGAACTTCATTTCGCTCAAACTGATCATTCAATGGTGCGCAGCGCAAAGTTTAAAAGAGAGTTAAGAAACTGCTTAGCTCCGTATAGAGAGGTTTTAGTACAGTTAGAAAAAAAAGCTAAGATTGAAAATCAACATGAAGATTTGTCAGATGAGGAAGACATTTGGCCCATTAAAAAACGAAGAGTTAGGCCACTCATATTTGAAAGCGAGGATGAGTGTTAAGAGCGTTCAATACACATGAAATTATGTTACACAATTTTACATAATTTTCTTGGTTTTGTTGAAAAACAGTTTTTTAGTTTAGTTTTAGTTTGATTTTTTTTATCATTTCTTTGTATGAACTCTTCGATTAAATAAAAATAATTTTATTGTACTTAACATATTATCTTGCCTTTTGTGTTTGTAAAATTTTTTCCACAACCGTATGCACCCATTGACGCTCTGAGAATGCAATTTTCATTCAACGCAGAACGAATCAAACTGATTAACAAGTGATTTTACTTACTTCCGAGTTTCACTCAACGCGGTTTCTATATAACGCGGTACGAATCAATCTGATTCAGTCTCTTATAGCGCGGTTTCCATATAACGCGGCACGAATTAATCTAGTTTGCACGTTAAATCTGAGTTTCTTATAGCGCGGTTTCCATATAACGCGGTACGAATTAATCGCGTTATAGGAGGGTTGACTGTATTATTAGCTAGCTAGGTATTGTGCCAAAGTATGAAAAGTAGATGTGTGTGTTATTTTAAAACATTTTAGTTTAGTCGATAAAATACTTAAAAGAACATATTTTCGTTATAAGTGTTTTTAAGTATTTTAACATTTAGACAGGATAAATATAATACTTGCAATTTTAGGATGTCGATCACTTACGCTGTCATTCTTTCTTTCTTTTGCCTTCTTGTTTGCATATCCGGTACTGAGACAGATTTTTCTAATGGCATCTTGCCAAGTAGTAAACGGCGAAACCTCTGTTCGTTCGATATTCTATTTATGTTTGCTGTATCCACATGTGCGTAATAAATAAATAATATTGTAAATTAGAGAATTTTTAACATTATTGTCTAATTATATAATAGCATATATACGTAGTGAGTCTTTTGGAGACTGCAGTTTCACTTTTCAATAAAAAATATTTTAAGATAAATATTGTTTTGTAATATCATAGTAAAGAAGCATATACAACTCATTATTGAAAAAGTTTAATGTTGAATTGTGAAAAATGGGAATAACATCTTCTCCTACTATTTTGTGAAATCACTGATGAAGACATAGTTTTAAATAATGTATATGTAGTCATATTTTTCACGATATTTGATAAAAATTTTAATCGCGTACGAAAATTATTAATTACTGCAATAAACCGAAGCATGGATTTTTTTATTAATTTAAGAAATATATAATTTAACAAATTCGTATAATAATCTAAAGTATCGAGTAATTCGAATGAAATAATTACCAATTGCAGATTGTGGTGACTGAATCATTTCATTGCTATCAGCAGTGAACACAGGGTTGTCGAAACCACTATAATTTCTTTCTGTAGAAGTGGCTGGAAGTACTTTTTCACTCAGACTTAAATTATACTTTTTGTTAGGAAGTCTATGTGAAAAAGAAAAATGTGTCAATAATTAAAAAAATGCTATAGCTTCATCACCTTGTATGTGCCGATTAAAAGAAAACAATTATTACGTTGTACAAAACTTACATATTCGCAGAAATATTCGCGTTACTGGAACTCTCGATTGGAAACATATTATTTCTTTGAAGTTTCATTTGTTCCTTCTCAAAATACGAGTAAAGGCTATTTGTCCATTCACCTACTGCTCGTATGTGAAGCCAAATATAATCTATGAAAAACAAAAACGAGATATTTGAAACGTTTACTGGTATTGAAGTTTTTAACAGTTATTTCCTTAATACAGCAGCAGAGGGTATGTAAAGAGTGTTCTGCAGTGCTAACATCCTCATCATTTGTGTATCAGATGTACTGCATCATTCATTGCATATGATTGACTTGCTTGTACGAGTGACAAAATATGATATAAAAAATTGATAACAATTAAAATTTATTTGCTTTATTTGTAAGAAATGCGAGATTTCGGCGGCGAAGTGGTGGCCTGGACTTTGTCGCCCAGGAAGAGAAAGCGCGCGGGTACCTGAGGGTGCCATAAACTAAGCCCTTTCCCCGGAAAGTCGAACGAGGGGGCTCCAGCGGTTTTTCGGAGCAACGCGGGATACGACGCGGAGAGGACACTCTGGAAATAGCCGTCGAGCGAGACGGACACTAAAGCACTTAGCAGTCGCTTATCACTTTAATACATTTTTGGTTAATACCCTATCCTGTGTTAAATTTACTTAAGTTGTGTTTACATATTGTACTGTAAATGCTTAAGAATACTGCTGGCGCTGTAAATAAAACTATGTCTGTAGGATTACGGTTATATGTATGATCCTTTGTTAAAGTTGATAGGTATAAAAAAATAAGTATAATTGTAAATTTGGTTGGAAGAATGAAAGAAATATTAGTAGAAAACTTTTTTTATGTTATTGTTTAGTCGTCCTATTAGATTTACGGCGTTTTCCAGGCACGGGTCTGGAAATTATTCGGTCCGTCGCAGCAGTTGTAGATTTGGGAGGCCATCGAGCACTTTAACGTTTATTTAGAAGTTCGATGCTTTTCTTCTCGTGGCTCTCGCCCACATCTGTTTGTTATATTTTAACTTGTCGGGTTTTTGGTCTCCACTTTGGTATGTTTCTGTTAGCGACGAAGCGCTGCCCAGACTTATTACCTGCTGCGTTTATTGCTTCGAGGCACGCGAGTTTCCGCGCGCGTCACTCAAGGGTGCGGACGACACTTGAGAGTGACCGTTGACTTAGGGGCGTCCCTTTAGTTCGTTCTTTGTTTAATAGTTTGCCAATCGTGTATAGTCAATCACCTCCCTTGTCGAAGTCGAAATTGTAATAGCCAATCCGCGTGTCTCACCCCCGCCGAATGTATCCTGATCGAGGTATCTTCGAACTTTTCCTGAGACCTCGAAATCAGAATCCATTCGGCTAGCAACAAGCAACATTGAAATCTTCCGGAAACCAAACACGAGTAAATTAGTTAGTCTTCCGATACACTGTAGTGGTCCTTCGAATTTGTAATTAGTCGGCACAAACGTGCAAAATCAACGAAGATCGAAAGATCGCAAGATCACCGCGAGTAGATTAAACAGTTATATTAGATGAGTGCCAGCATTCTATCGGTTTCTGTATTACCTATCAATAGCTTTGACTTTGTAAATTATTTATAACGGTCATAAACTTGTAATATTTCTATACAATAATTACAGATGTCCTATCTTAATGTTTTGATGTAACGTTTTTTGCTGTATTTTTTAACTTTTGTGATCAAAGAACACACAGTATCCGAAAATGTTTTAGAGTTCGAAAATTCCATAGCTTGGTATTAATTTTAACCGTTTTGTGTATAATCAGGTACCCTTTTACATATTTTCTCACTTAAATTTTATCTTCCCGGTAAAAGATTTTAATATCCGGTCAGAATTGGACTAACAGTGGACGATAAAGTAGACGACAATTGTGGTTATCGACATAAGAGTTATATAAAATTATTCTCATATCATGAAGTACTTTCGCGATCCTAAGCGGGCCGAACCCATCCTGATCATTTCTTGAATCGACCAAATATAGAGTATCCGTGATTTCCTGTTTTCGCATATCTCTAGTTACCATTAATAAGTCAAACCTTCTTGTTCCGGGGCGCTGCTGATAGTGAAAGGATGCCATTCGTAACGAGCTATGATAGGAATGTTCACAAAGATGTAATCGCCAGGGTGATAGTTGAAATGAGGTGGCCTCTTAATGACCAAGTGCGTCACTTTTGATGGCAGCAAAAGACCCGAGCTTATGTACGTCTTCCCTAATTGTGAACGAGACCAGGCAATTCGATGAATTCTTTCCAGCAGATATATGCTGCCTGGGACTATGAACCATTTCCAGAAATTTGGTCCGTGTAGTATCATTAGTATCCAGAAGGGTATGTATAGTAAGTGTGACCAGTAAAATATCTGTGAAATATTAAAAGGATTTATTAATTTAACTTATTCTTATCGTCTATAAGATTAAACGTACATACGAAAATTGTTAAGAATGTAACATTTTAAGAATAATAAAATAGTAAAGCAAATATTATTATGAGAAACACTATTCGAATATTTTATATGTTAATTAGAGTTTTACGGAAACTGAGAAAGAATGAAAAATATATACATATAGCCTTATGGTATTGCATCTCTATTTATGGTATTTAAATAGTACAGAGCAAAGAACCGCTGTGAATAGTACAGCAGGGGGACGATTTTATGATACGTGATTTCTAGTTCAGCAAACCGTTATTCTCAATTAGCAGACCGGTCTGCAGCCAACATGCGGCACGTAGAATTTCTCAAATATTAAAGAATAGGCTATTGTTCAGTCGGTAAGGCAAGGTATCATAAAGTCACCCCCAAAGGGTCTTCGAAACCGATGCAATTACCGAGGCCTCTCGGTACCTGACCTTCCGAACGAGTCGGAGAGTCAGAGTTGACCTGGTCGGGTTTTGTTGGCCAAATTTCCATCCAGCAAGGACCAGCTTCGTCACCTCCGCTCCAAGGACGTGACGCGATCCGGGCGCAATGGAAGGGGGTGATACAGGGTTGGTCACTTAGTAATTTTAAGAACCTCCCTTCGCGTCCCTTCTTCAAATTTTAGCTTAAGACGCAGAGTGTTAGTACACAGACCATCAGTTACATTAGGAATCTTAAAGATTCAGTCAGACTCTAAACGCAATACATTCAGTCTTCAGACGGCACCTAGTGCAATATTCCAAGTACGCGGAAATTAGCACCCGAGTGCTTAACATGAAGAGTAGAATATGGTGTTCCAAACAATTATGCTGCCTTATACATTATATGGACATTTTTTTTTTACTAATGACATCCATGGCCTTTAATAATTTTTGGCTGGTTATGGCTGTATGATTTGATCAGGTAAAAGTGAACTTCTAGGAGGAGATAGGCTTAACTCAGATGGACAACTTTAGAACCACACCACAATTATAAAACAGTGGTTGTTTGTAGGCGGTCATGAGTTAACATGGAAACGAAGTCAGTTTCGACGGTCGCAATACGTGGGCAGTTATTGACAATAACTTGCGAGTGGTGCACTTATTGTTAGAGAGTTATCCTAGGGGTTTAACTCCACCACTTCGTGAAACCAGCTACCTACGTTCAACACTTACAATTAGTCGTCACAACAATCTATGAAAAATTAAATGTTTATAATTGTTATTTAATATCATTGAAAAGGTTATTAATGAATTGGTCAGGTTTTCTTGATGAAATTGAGTCCAAACACGGCCACAATCGAACTATTTTACGTTAGTGATACATACGCAGTATAAGGCGAGCATTCGTATTCGTTCGAAAGCTTTAACGACTTATTATGTAAAAACGATGCATTCGCAACATACGATTCCTTGTAAACGTTTTCTTCCCTCTTCGAAAAGAATATATAGAAATTGAAAAAAATTTAATATTAATTTTTATTGTTATAAGTAATTTTTCGACAACCTTTTCCAACAAATTGACGCCAAACAAAAAGTATACATTCACTTTTGAATGTCGTGCCTATCACTATATGTATAATTTTATAGCTCATCATTAACTTAAAGCAATCTGATCGAGGACTTATTTTCATCAAGAAGATCCTGACAGCTCATTAATGATCTTTTTATCAAAATTAAATAACAATTGTAAACGTTTAATTTTTTATAATTAATAACGATGACTTATTGTTTACCGGTTCCAAGCTTCGGCGGTCGAGATATTTGCTGTTTTGCTCACACTTATGTAGTTTCATTGTCAGTCTTTCAATGACGGTACCTGGGCTCACTGCTGCGCTCGTGCAATTTATAAAAGGAAACCCAGGTTACATCTAGCTGTATGTATAACATAGCAAATTTTACTCCGTGTCCCCAAAATTTTAGAATTAACGGAAATTTACTGTATTTATTGTTAGAGTCACATTATAGTAGAAGTAAAATTTAAATAATAGTATGTAAAAATATTCATGCAGGAATATTTTACGTATCTTACCTGTAATTAAGTACGTTTTCACGTATCAAGCGCACACATTATTACTACACATGATATGAACGTAAATTGTCCAAGGTTCGAGTTTTAGATATTTCACATTTATTTTTTGAGTATTGACATAGGTTAAAAAGTTGTCAGGTAGATTAAGCGCGTAACAAATAGTATACATGTGTAAGTTATGTCAAAAAGCTGTTCTTTTTTAATATGTAAAAAGTTCCAAAGTGTGTTGGTATGTTCCATGAGAAGAAGTAAGAAGAAATGCCATGAAAATTTTTAACAAAAATACGAAAACTAGAAGTGATTGTGATTTTTTGTAAAGGTATGTTGGGAGCTTTTATTATCATATTACATTAAAGAAGGAGAAAACAAATTCGTTCAATTTTCTATTTTAAAATGCCACCTTATGTGTTTCACGTTTATCTTGTTTCAATTGAATGATTTCACTATCGATTGTTTCCTTCTTTCTACTCTCCCATCAATACTACATCAATAGCAAACTCTGAATTGCTTTTATTTTTGATATTTTGGTTAAATCTTTTTCAATAAAGATCTATGTTTATTGTATATCTTTTTCTTATTTCTACGTATAGACCATACTGGTATAGTTTTACGTTTAAGTTTTGGACATCTTACATATACAACTTTTAAAATATTATACAGTAGAATCCCCGTATCCGCGGTTTCATTCAAGTGTGTAATCTATCTCTAATAAGTCTGTATAATCCTACGAATTTGACACGCTTCTGAAAGTCTCGCGAACTTTCGCGATGCGTCTAGAAGTGCATTGCTTTTATTTTAACACTACATATGTGTGTATAATAAACTGACACAATTATGTTATAATAAAACTAGTAATCAAATTAACTAAAACTTCACGTGCAATCTCATGTAATAAATAAATTATGATCATAGGTATGTACAGCGTGTAAGTGCATACATATGTACATGCATATAACATATGAGTATGTACAGTGTGTAAAAAAAGTCACGGTCGTGGCTTTGAATCTACCACCTCTGAATCGGTGAACATTTGTAAAAAGAACTTGCCACAAGATTATTTATAACAATGGAAATTAATGCTAAATGATTTCTTAACATCAACGTATTCTGCACGACAAGAAGAGAAAAAGTTTGAAAGGAGCCATCTGTCGCAAAGAAATAGTTTTCGAGATAAACGTTGATAAATTTTTGCCACGATTTGATTGTGTAGAGTTATACGTGTAGACTAGGGCAGAGATGGGGAACCTGCGGCCTTCTAATATTTTCTGTGCGGTCTTATTTATCTTTATACCAGGGTAAAAGATCCATTTACTGACACCTATCCAATTACTGTCATCCTAAATTATTTTACTTAAAATAACGAATAAACTTTATGAAGTTATACACAAAAATAATTTTGCTTGCAATTAAAACTGTAATTCATACGATAGAAAAAGCAGCACTTCGTTTCTTTTTTCCACTGATTTTTATAAGACCATCGAAAATTTGTAGTTGATTGGAAGAGTAAAAGCAACAACTTCCTTGCTAGTGAAAGCGAAAACAAGGTATTGAAGAAAAGGCTATGCAGGCCCTCGGACTCTGCTCTTGGTATACCAAACCCTTACAAATCCTAATCCCCACTCCTCAAAATACGAACACGTATATTACACGTTCTTCCTCAAAAATCCAACAATACCGTAAATTCTCCACAAGTGTCAGTCCGCAAGGAACCTAAACCTGACACTTGTAGAGTCAGGGACTACGTTTTCGAGCCTCGCGCCCGCCTTTGTAGTTTGCCGAACGTAGACAAGGACAGTGAATAAAAGATAAGGATGAAACGTGAGTCGAAGCAACCAAGCGATTTAAATACCAACTTTTTTAATTTTACGTTTTTTTATCCCGAAATTTTTCTTAACATATTGATGAGATTTTTCTGATGAAAATGACATCAAACACGACACAATTTGAACAACATTTCCTTATTGTCACGCCAGACAGTGAACGTGTTAATAAGTAAATGTTGTTCAAATTATATCGCGTTTGATATCATTTTCATCATAAAAATCTGACCAATATGTTAAAAAAAATTTCAGATGGAAAAGTGGAAAATTAAAGAAATTATATTTTTCTATTATGAATTATCGAGCCGTGAAATCTCGTAAAAGAAACCGAGTGGTTAGCGTTACACGCTTGACTGACAGCGAGCGAGATAACATAGGCGCAGCAATGACGCAGACCTAGGCGTAGGACCATCTATACTGACACTTGTAGAATCCAAACTGACTGACACTTGTAGAGAATTTACTGTAATTGCAATACTTAAGCTATATAATAAAATATAGGTAATTTTTTGGATAATATAAAGATCATAGAAAATAATATCGATCATAATTTAACGATTCGTTAAGTTTTTTAATTTAATATTTGGGTGATAGCGATTGGTACAAGCGTTTCGCTAGCCTTACGCTATTACTGTCACCCATACCGTCTGCAGTCACGTGCAACATAACCTATTTTACCTTACGACCTGTTTTACTAGTCTACTGGTTTGTTAGTAAATTAATTGTACATTTACAATTACAACGAAAGGAAGTTAAATGAAGAAAACAGAATATTTAATGAAGATTGGGAGTTGCGATATTTTCTTATTTCTGTTAACGACAAAAAGAGTTGTTTGTTATGTAATACAGTATTAACAACGTTAAAAAAATACAATGCAAATCAACATTATCTATCTCACAAGGACCATAAATATGTGAAATTAGTAGGAGAAGCCTGTAAATCTGCACTTCAAAAAATGAAGAAAAAAAAAACAGCACCAGGAAAAGGCTTTTGGTGCTTTTGTTAAGCACGGAACTGCTGCAACCGATGTTACATACAAAATAGCGCATGTACTTGGAAAAAGAGGCATAAAAGAACATATTGTTGAAGCAGTGGGATGTTTAGATCGGGAAAAAATAGACAAATACAAACAATTACCTCTTTCAAGTAGAACTATAACTGATAGATAACATGAATTATCTCAGAATCTAGGAGAATAACTTGACGCAATAATTCAAAATAAAGATGTATATTTGTCAATAGCTTTAGATGAAACCACTGATAAAACTGACTGCTCAAATATTATATTTTATTCGTGCTATAACTGAAGATTTTCGTTGTTACGAGGAACTACTGACATTGGGTATGCTCACTGGAAGGACTCGTGGAATTGATATTTTTAACAACTTTAAGGAAATGTGTCGTGAAAGGGAACTAAACCTTGGTAACCTGGTGAGTGTATGCACAGGCGGCGCACCTTCTACGAGAGGAAAGCGAGAAGGATTCGTTTCATTATTAAAAAAAGAAAGTCCTAATTTAGAAAAGTTAATTTCGTTCCACTGTATTTCACACCAACAAAATCTTTGTGCTAAATCCTCCACATTGAGCAATACTTTGAACAAAGTTATTGCAATTGTTAAGTTTCTTCGAGTAAATGCATTAAGACATCGCCAATATCGAAGCATGCTTATATTAGATGATGAGGCATATAATGTTGACTTACCATATTATTATAAAGTGCGCTGGTTATCAAAAGGACCAATTTTAGTAAAAGTTTAGACTTTGCGAGAACAAATTTTAAAATTTTACGAGGAACAACAACAAGAATGTGATTTATTCGATGACGAATTTTGTAGAAATGCTGCGTTTTTGTGTGATATTATGGCAAAGCAAAATGAACTAAATATTTCTTTGCAAGGTAAAACCAGACATATATGTACATATATGACATGTTGAAAAAACTTCAGGTATTTCGAAAAAAATTAATATTTTTCAAAACTCTTTTCTCTAAATCAGAAACATCTGGGGAACGTTTCCCTCATTTAAAAAGTATGTTAAATGAGCAGTGTTAGGTTTTCTGTAGAAACGGTTTATGGCACGATCGACCGGGAACGGTTATCTTTGAGTTCAGGATTTCGTTTATTGCTTGCACGGGTCTAATTACATCCTGCGAGGGCCACTAGAATTGCTTTGCTAGATTGTTAGTAATTTGTGTCCCTCGCGCTCAATAGCCTACGAACATACTATAAATCACGAATTTCCGAACGGCACATCTGTATGTAACGGTCCGCTTGCCGATTAGTCACCCGGAGGAAATTCCAGATTTTTGGGACCCACCCTTCGCGACCGTCTCCCACCCTTCCAAGGTGACAGCGCGCTAAGGGTGCACTGGAAGGGCGGTAAAGACGATATTAGACACGTTGATTGGCAAATGCAATCGTTAACCATTAACCAATCAGCGTGTCCCAACAAAAATCCCTCTCACGGACGTTCGAGACGCGACGTCGGAGAGTTGAGTCGTCGAGTAGTCGTTCAACCACCACGAACAAGGAGACCCAAGGAGCAACTAGCTCACATCACGCGATACCATAGATCAGTTTTTACAAGTCCCAATCATTTGGGTGGTCTTTCGAACCAGTATCTAGACGGCACAACATCGTGCAAATATCTACAAGGCTCGAAAGTTCATCGCCACAACCACGGGCATTAACAAGCAGAAATATGTTGTATGTGAAACTTTCAATGACTATATAGCTGTATTGGACATGCTAATTGAGAAATACCATGACAGATTTTCTGATTTCGAAGAACATACTTTAGCAATGAAATTGGCGTACGAGCTACATTTAATTAATATCTCTACGGCACCCATGGAACTGAAGATGGAATTAATTGAATTGGGAGAAGATAATATCATAAAGAATTTTTTTGGTACAAAAAAAAGATCCCATTGAAATATGGAAAAATGCAGTTGAATACCCACGTTTACGTCAACACGCTCGTCTCTGTTGTCTTGCTTTGTAACTACTTACTGTTGCGAATCAACTTTTTCATACCTTACACAAATTAAAACTCATTTAAGGACTCAGATATCTGATATTCATTTAGAAGACCAATTCAAGCTGCGTACAACTAAACTGGTGCCTAATACTCAGTTATTATCTAACAAAAAACAAACCCAAAAATCTCATTAGTTAACTCATATTAAATCATTTTCTTTAAATAATACAGTTCTTTTTCTATTTATTCATGAATAATACACAGAGTGAATGTAAAATAATTGCAATAAATTTTCATTTCAATAACAATTTGGAAAGCTATTTATTATCTTTATAATTATATTTTTTAAATTTTGTGTTGATATAAAATATATATGGATGCATTATTATGAAAATATTGTAAATTAGTGTAAGAAATGCGAGATTTCGGCGGCGAAGTGGTGGCCTGGACTTTGTCACCCAAGAAGAGAAAGCGCGCGGGTACCTGAGGGTGCCATAAACTAAGCCCTTTCCCCGGAAAGTCGTTTCTCCAACGAGGGCTCCAAGGACACTTTGGAAATAGCCGTCGAGCGAGACGGACACCGAAGCATTTACCAGTCGCTTATCACTATACTTTAATACATTCTTGGTTAGTACCCTATTCTGTGTTAAATTTACTTAAGTTGTGCTAACATTCGTATGTTTTACTTCGTAAGTAGTGGTTCGAAAGATCGATGCGGCCTTTCCACTATTTTAGAAAATGAATATGGCCTTTTATACACAAAAAAAGGTTCCCCATCCCTGGACCAGGACGTACGACTGCACAGGATCTAGCCGCGTAATAGACGCTCGATATAATGGTGTGCGTGCCTTTACAAAAACGACTTCACTTGGTTCGACCCTGCATTCGAATCGGTGCATTATTTGTGTCCTTTAATCGTCGTTTGTTAGGGGCACGCACGCCATTACACCGAGCGTCTATTACGCGGCTAGATCCTATGCGGTCGTAAGGCCTAGTCTATACGTACAACTCTACACAATCAAATCGAGGCAAAAGATTATCTCGAGAACTATTTGTTTGCGGCATATGGCTCCTTTCAAACTTTTTCTCTTCTTGTCGAGTAGAATACGTTAACGAAGAAAAAACATTTAACATTAATTTTCATTGTTACAAACCATCCATGTCCATCGATCTGGAGGTGTAGGTTTATCCCCTAAAGCCATGTGTAAGACGTTGTGCGACGCGCCTAGGCAACGACCGCGGGACCCGAGCCGCAGGGGGCCCTAGACAAGGAGCAGCGCAGGCTGCACCCCCACCCCACGGCTTGCTGGGCCCTAACGGCCGAAGAAGCGTATAAAAACGGGAAAAAGGGCAGCGGCCCACACATTATTGTCGCTATCTTGGAATAACGTTTGACTCCGGTTTAAGATGGGGTCCTGCGGTTCTGAACCGTAGGAATAAAGCTTTATCTGCCATTAGAGCAGCCACCATACTATTAAATTCAAAATCCAAACTTCCTACTGAACTGAAATTAATTATATACAATGTTTGCATTCGCCCAGTCATAACCTACGCTGCCCAGGTATGGCATGTCGCAGCCCATTCTCACATCACAAGCTTGCAGCGCATCCAGAACAAAGCTTTAAAGATCATCTTAAATTTACCACCCGATCATCCCACATTCGATATTCACATCAAAACCAAAATCCTTATGTTAAAGACTATCATAGACTCCTTAATTAAAAATTACTGCCTTTACTCCCACACTAATCCTCTTATGCTTTTCAGACAAGATCTTCTTCCATACACACCCAAAATCAAATTCCCACTACATCAATAGTTCATGTTATTAATAGCACATTCAGCTTTCAGATCGACCAACTATTCTCAGTTGCAAATCCAGTTTCACGTTCACGCATGCACTTATGGCTTGGCATACTCCTGCTGGTGCCTAAGCACCATTGTTCCTGCACAGGTGTTTTGCAAATTTTCCTGTCAACCTAATTATTACACTGCCCCAGCTATTTCTCATTATTCATGTTACTAAACCACTTTTATTTATTTTAGAGTGTAAGGAGCGACGAAACTCCAGGAAACTCTGCGATCCTTCCTGCCTCACCACAGACGTAATAGTCTGACAAAAAAAGATAAAGCGACCCACACATTATTGTACCCAACCATCGACCAGCGAACCAACGTCATCTTAATATCCGTTGTTTTAAGCCCTTGTAATTCTTTACTCTTACACATGACCATGACTTTTTTTACACACTGTACATACGTAATAGGGTTCGCTATTATCCGTGGAAGGTCTTGGAACCAATCTCCCGCGGATATGGGGGTCCTACTGTGGATTGTTTTAATAAAAGAAAGTTGAATAAAAAGTTGCTAATAACCTCGAAGCATCCACGACGACGAACAAATGGCATCGAGCATATCGTCATTATAACAAGAATGATGACAAGGATGACTCCAGTTGGATTTGCATAGCCCTCTACGAGACCAAATTGAGCTGGTCGATTTGTTAATAACCACTCAGATAGTGTGTAATTAGCATGATTAAGAATCTTGTCATTCACCACGATTGTACCTGAAAATATTTAAAAATATTTTAGAATATAATCTCTTCGTTAATTAAATTCGATAGTTTTTCAATGTACTTGTGTGTATGTATATGCGAAGTATTTTTTTAACAGGTTTATCTTACATCTCCTAGTGTTTATTATTTCTGTTTCATGTAATTTGGAGCAGTTTTTTCTCTAGAAGAAACTAGATGTTGTTACATTGGTATACTAATTAATTAGGAAACGTAGTGTCATTTATTTTTAAGTATTTCCTATATTACTAAAGATAGAAACATTTTTTCAGCTAGACAGAAAAAACGAGATTTGAAGTTTGTATTCTTTTTTATATCATTAAATTGGAAGAATCCAATACTTTTGATCGCATTATTTGAGTCTGAAAATTTCGAGTAGTATTAAAAATGAGACTTGTTGAAAATGAAATAATGGATGAATAAAGGATAGAAAGAATATGTTTAGTTCTATACGTGTTACTTAGGCAAATATGTTTGTTATTATATTTTTACTAAACGGAAGCAACGATTTAACTTCATTCCAAAAGTTAAAATATTCTCGTTTAGTTAACGAGAAGATCGTGTTAAAGATACAATTATTTATCGATGATGAAAAATGTATCAATTTTACATACATATAATTCTTTCGTATAGAATGAATAAAGTTGAAAATCATGAACATTTTATACAGGGTGATCAAAACTACTATGAAAAAAAGGCTAATACGAGTATAAATGATAATATATTGAGAAAGTAAAAGTAGGAAATGGCGAAAGAAACATTTTTTGTCTAATAAATATATATCCTATTTCGCTGTACTTGTAAGTAATAAGACTTCAAATATTCAGGTTTTAGGCACTTGTTAATGAACAATTCCGTATGTATCGAACACTCACAGAGTTGACAAAAATACGATATTTGATCTTCTGAAGAATTTCAGTGAGCTTTTGAATAATAAATTACATGTAATTTAAAAGAACGTATTTGTTATATGAAAATGTGAATAGTTTTTTATTTATATAAAAATAAGAAGCTATTTGTTAACTATGTATAAATGCAAATGTGGATTACTTTTTAACTTTGTTTAACCTTTACTCTATAACCTTAACCAGAGCAGAAGACTTTTACATTTAAATAATTAAAAGAAAAATTCAATCTGGACTCTTGAATACTTGCATTCATATTCCGAAACTAACAATGTTCCGTCGGGCAGGTACGGAACGCTGGGGTCTTCGTTGACCGGGTTTATGGCACGCTCGCACGAGAAGGTTATTTTTGAGAACAAAGACGCTTCGTAGCTCCGCGAAAAAAATAAGTAATTTCTTACAGAACAATGCCTTTAGAATTTCTACTTTCCACGTCCTCAATAGCCGAAGATGTGTCATAAACCAGGGTTCCTGAAGGGTCAATCTACACGTGCGTATAACGGCACTCTCGGCCGAGGGTTGACCTGGTGGGAATTTCCGACGCGTCACCGAAGAACAGCGAAGATTCCACTCACCCGCAGGTAGGGCCCCACTCCTTCCAAGGAAAAGCGCGCTAAGGGCGCAATGGAAGGGTGGGTGACACTCAAGGGACACGTTGTTTGTTAATTTGTGCGTACGTGAAAAACCAATCAGCGTGCCTTCTTGCACTTGGCGGGGGAGTCACGGAGGACTCCAGAAAAATTCGGGGATCGGGAAACACATTCGCAAGGATTCTCTCGTGTGAACAACACATTCTCCAGCCATTCAACGAGATACAAGTAGGAGTCGCGATCGAATGCTCGAGTTTAAAACAAGTCGTCAATCGTTTTCGTGACGCAGGTTTGCTAACGTTCCGAGCAAGACAAATTTTCGAATTGGTTACCTAAGATTAATTTGGCGGGTAACAGTCGTGAGCGCGAACATTTTGAATAATCAAAGGAGAACGCGACGCGAGAAACAATAAGTTCGAATTATAATGAGTATACACCCACAAGTACATATCTAGAATACATGGACATATTTTAACACGTTGAATACCGACGATGCCAAAATTAGTAAAAGCATTTAATTTAAATAAACGGTAATATTTGTAAAATTTTCATTTAATGCATCATATAGCATGTTTAAATAGTTTTATTTCTAACTGTTGACATATTATTTACGCATATTGCGATGTGATGTATTAAAATAAAAAATTCATTTCGGCGCCGTAGACAAGTTGCACAGGGTAGATCAGATAAAGTGTTACAAACTGATTTCTCCGAAGTGATTGCAGATATCAACTTGAAATTTTCAGGTGTTAAATCGCATTGAGAGGCAAATATTTTAGAGTGTAGGATATTGTAGGGGTGAGTTTCTTAAGGGTAGAAAGCAGAGCCTACATCAGCTGGTCTCGGAAAAATTCAAAATATATACGCCTTTTTAATATATGACAATATATTGTCTTTTAATTTTTATTAAAAAAATAATAAAGGATGTGTTTACAAAATCACAGAAATAATTATATAATTAAAGGGTTTTAAAAACGACAAATAAGGCTCATAGAACAGAAAGTTTTAAATTAAAATAGGAAAATAAAAGGTAAAAATTAAATTAATATAACAACATAATTGGTAGTATATAAAAAATTAATCTTATTGGATAGATACCCTTTGAAGTTAGCCGACATTTTAAAAACTCTCAAATAAATGCTTTTGAAAAAAAAAAGAAGACAAAATATCTCAATCACATTTACAATGCGCCAAAATTATTTTAATGTTATATTTTGTATATTCAAAATTATTTATCATAGTGATATGTCTGACTTCATTTGAGTGATTTTTCTACGAGATGTTATTTTATCAATTTTTATATTTTTTTCTTTTTTTATTTGAGGCCCCGACAGATTGTGAGGCCCTAAGCTGTAGCTTTTTTAGCTTATACGTAAATCCGGCACCAGTAGAAAGGGTGCCACCCCCATTTTTTAAACATGGGATGTCATATTAATTTTTCTATATTCGGAAATATGTTATGAAACCTAATAACTTTTATCTAAGACTGTAACGTGTACTTTTATTCAACCAGGACGGTGAGTTCTCATGAGCAAAGGTTTTTAAGAACAGGGTAGAACGAGGAAGCTTGACTCGATGCACTTGGTTCGGGATAGCTGAGATCCTTCTGCCAAGTTTTGTCGAAATCGGGTGTAGGATGTTGTCGGTAAAGAGGAGACCTTAACGTTTGATGCGCTGGGTTCAGGATGACTAGAATCCTTCTGCCCAAATTTCTCGTAGTCAGAGGTAGTGTCTTAGGATTTGCTGGGTGTGCGTGGGTCAGGGTAGTTGTGATCTGTCTGTCAAAGTTAGTCGAGTAAAGACTGACTTTTTGCCAAAAAAAAGCCGCTCTTATATACCTATGTTCGCACACTCGTCCGTCCAATCGGTGACGAGGCAAGAGTGTCATGACTCTTCATACCTGCCTCGCCGCGCGTACATCGTCGAGTCGCATGAAAAGTACACGTATTGGTTACTTTTTAAAAATGAGTGCTCTACGAGACATTTTTTTTATTCTGCATAATTAAGGAGTTATAGCGGAAAATACCTTATGCAAGGGGAACTTCGTGCAGGTATCGAAAGATATAAAATTAAGATTAAATTGTATCGTTGGACTTCTTAACTTTTGATACGAATGAATAAACTTTGATTATTTTTTTATGGGTCTACATAGAGGAAAATATGGTGGCAACGGCACCTAGATACTACGAAAGGGGATATGAAAAGAAGAATTCACACCGCATATAAATCCATAAGTCTAACAATATTATCAAATGTTCGCAAAGATATTATCACAAGAATAAATGTACGTTTGGAAGCGAATGGACAACTCTTTCAACATCTAATAAAATAATTTTCAAAGCAGAATACATTTCTTTTGATATCTTTCGACACCTACCTATAACTCCTTAACTGTGCAGAATAAAAAACAAAAAAAGCCTTACATAAAAGTTGTTAGGTTTGATAACATATTTTCGAATATAAAAAAATGGGGGGAAACTCACCTCTACAATATCCTACACTCTAAAATATTACCCTCTCAGTACCGTTTAACACCTGCAAATTTCAAGTTGATATCTGCAATGCTGTTGCGTCTTGTACTTCGAACAAGCAATAAGATCGAGAGTGGTGGCGCTATGCTGTCGCTGGTTCGATGGATGGTGTGATGTTGGTGAAGATAAAATTTTGTCTCACGTATTTCAATATTGTATTTCAAAATAATCAAGGTCTCAGTGTGGTGTGCGTGTCGATCTTTATACAAAAAAGAATAATCTGT